TCAATCTAAATCCTTGTAGGTGAATTAGAGCAATGGTCTAGGGCTAATTTTTTGTTATCTGTGTTAGTATTAGGCATGAAAACTATTGGCATGAAAACATCAAACACAAAACTAAAAGATTTAGTTTCAGCCTTTCCTCATTCTCATTGCAGCTGAACTGCTGAATATGTAATTGCATGTGACAGGGAATTGCAAAGGTATTGACAGATAAGATTTGACTTCTTTGCTTTCGACAACTTTTTTTAAGGTATTAATGAAAATTGACGTGATCAGGAACTACATAATTGGAGTAAAAGAGAAGAGGGAGGTGGCCTAAGAAGCATAGGGGAACAGTCCTCAAATACTTTGTAGCAGATTCTTCATGTGCGTTGTAGATGTTTTTGTTCTTAAAAAAATTGTATTTTTCTAACTGTAAAAGAGAGAGGGGACTCCACCCCCATTGGAAATTGACTCAACATTCACTTCTTCTTCCTCTTTAGGAAGATATTCAGAGAAAAAAGCTGGACTATTTTTTTTAGTTTGAAAAATGACTCCAAAACTTGAGAGAAAACATTACTTTTAAAAGAAAGTTTCACTTTTAGCAAATAATGAATCAATAATACAGTAATATATATTTTCTTTTCAGAATTATCAAAACAACCTGAAATCTTAACAGGATATTTTCCCCAAGACAAAAGTAATGTTAAACAGATGGAAGTGCCTCCACGACCAGTGGGTGTGTATGTTTAGGGAAGTAAATCCTGTTGCCTTGGTAAATCGAAAATTAATGTATCATTAATTTTTATTGCTATGAAAGATGTGTTGTGGTCAAATGTGAATGTTTCATCACCAACCCACTGTTAAATGTTTCAGTTGCCTCAAATTAGTTTAAGATATCAAGTCTGAATGGTAAAATTTTGTGTTACTCTACCTATATTTGAGCCACTATGTAGATTGTTGGTAGTAATGCTGGTAGTACTTAATGCTTATTGACAAATTTTTGTTAGGCTTTATGCCATGCACTACACTGTGTCATCTTAAAATAGTTCTCCAGCTCACTGAATGCTACTGTCCATCCCATTACTCCAGCTAGAGGCCTTCTACCATTTCTCCAACATCTAGTTGATTAAAAATATTGGCTTAGAGCCCCCTCTCTGGAATCTCATTTCTAGGTCTTTGTATGTCTGGCTGTGTTCAGTCTCTGTCATATGCCACTTCCTCAAAGAGGTCTTCCTAACGATTCTAGCCAGTGATCACTATGTTGAGTTTTCTTCCTAACACATTTC